TAAATGATTACTCTATCGAAATCTATTGTTACCCCATCAAAACAATGTCATTACACCAGTTAAATAGACACCAAGATTATCACAATGATCACATGGAATATTCTCAAAAAACAAAAAAAAAGAAACAATATTGGATTTAGTTTTATATTTTATTTAGTTAGGAAAAAATGAAATCCATAAAGAGCATCAGAAGAAGATGAATCAATTCCAAGTTCAGTATCAAGTTCTGTTCTTCAAATGCCTTTTACATTTGAACATACTTCAAATAAGAATTGAGGTTTGTTATCAATAAATGATTTGTTTAGTAATTTGACTGAGAAATTGTAATTATGAAAAAGGTCAAAAATGGTCGAGATTTTTAAAGTCGATCCAGTTCTGTTTTATTATTTCTATCCTTTGAGTACCATTTCGGTATGATGATAGCTACGAACTTGATCATTTTTATTATTGAATTCTGTTCATTCAATAAGTTGATACCTCTTCAATATTTCAATTGTTAGATTTTATTAATCACTGAGATCGAAGTTCATTTTTTTTAATTTGAACTTCTCATGTAAAAGAATTGATAAGTTAGTCGTCAGATATTATTTTCACTAAATAATTCTATCGTCGCATCTCTATATCTGTTTGCCAATTATTTAAAAACGAAGAAACTTACAAGAAAAAACGTACTCTCATAAGTGTATTGCTATTCAAAGAGTTAAGAAATGAATAAAGTCTATTATCAAAGATGCTATAGAATATCTAAATTATGTCAAATTGAAAAAGATAATTTTATTTGAAATGGTTAACTAACTATATCATTTGTTAGGATAACTCTAAAAATTGAACACAACGATTAAATTATAACAGATGATTGAATTCGAAATAAATACGACATGGACATTCATTCTAAAGTGTGCTTTTTGTTTTCAACTGAAATAGAGCCTTGTATATCAATACAGACATCCATCATTCCTTTGATTTTTTTAATTATACAAGATCTTTTATAAATAAATATCAATGGAATTATGCCTGTCGACAATTATGACAGGTATTTCATTCTATAATAAGGAAGGCTTCAATATAGTATTTGAATAATGATACGTCATATAGATCTTTTTTCATTATCAATTTACACTAAAAAATATTTTATAAAACTGCATAATATTTAATGTCCACGCTAAAATTAAAGATAAAAGGTCTCATCTTAATAACTAACTGGACAATGACAACAATTTATTTGAAAATCTATTATTTTTGCAAACATGCATGAATCGATGTTTTGTAGAAGTGGAAATGACTAAAAACTCGGCAAAAAAAAGCAATTTTATTCTTGAAGTCGTAACTGAAGAGTTACGAAACTTACCGTGACCCGGTCGTTCGTTTCTTTTTACTTGTTTCAATTCTGTTCACCTCATAACAACATTATCTGCTTATTTTTATTTCATTTTTTATCAGATCAAAACAAATGATATTTCATAATCTCTCTAATCGAGAATCCTGGTTCTCTATCAAAAACGTTTTGCTAGAAAGTGAGAAAACTTGCTAAAAACCAATTTAATTCGATTCTCATGTCGCAAAAACTGGATCATTTTTAGCGGTAAATCACGGTATTTGTCAAAACCGCCGGTTTACCACGGTTATTTGCAGCGATGGAAGCCGGTAACCGGAACGATAGAACCGCAGTAAACCGCCGTTTTTTTTGCCGACTTTTTTCATATTTGGAGCTACATAAAAATTACATGTAAAATGATCAAAACCGATGTTTTGCCGCAGTCCAGCACGAAAAATGACCGGCTGACCGGTTAACCGGGCAAAAGTAGCGCTTTATCGCGGTTAATTGCAGTAATGGGAGTTGGTAACTAGATCGGTAAAACCGCGGTAAACCCCCAGCTTTTATCCGGTTTTCACTGCATGGGCTGAATATCTACGTGATTTTGTTCGGTCAAATTTGAAATATGAGAGGGTAATCACCTGAATCATGCCTTGAACAATACTTCTGAACAACAAGTCAAAATCGAAACGAAACAGTGTTCTTGTCCCTTTTTCTGAGTGTTTTGTAAAGATAAAGGCTACACCCATTCATATATGATTCTCTCGCAAACATTAGTTATGTTGTTTATTTAGAATGAATGAATTTTCAGGCGTGGCTTTTTTCATCAATGACATTTACAACATCATCTGTATAAACTAATGTATGTGCTAGTGGAAGTACACCAATGTTAACAACATCACAAGCACGAAATGATCTTGATAGTGCAAGAAATTTACATTCAGTTAATGAACAAGAAGAAGTAATGAGTTTATTTATTAAAAAAAATTAAAAATACAAATAAAAATAAAAGAATTTACAAGATAACTTTATAATATAGAAAGGTAATATTGATGTCAATACAACTGATAATCAAGTTGTTATTTGGGGTACAGATCTACATGTTAATGAATGTAAACATCGATTTATATCATTTTTAAATAAATTCAATTAAATGTTGAACAAGCAAATATTCAAGATGTTGATCCAACTAACTCCTATTATATGCAAAAACTTAAAGAAATTCATTTACTTAAACGTCTATTTATTAATATTGATTGTGCACAATTGAAACAATTAGATAAAATAATGTATCATCAATAATTTGTATATTCACAAGAAGTTATATCTTCATTTAGATATTGCTCTTAATCAATTACTTTTTACAATTTATAAAGATGACACACTTTCACATCATATTCAAGTACAACTACATAGGGGTATCCAAAAGTAGTGGCAACGACATTTTATTACCACATATTAAGGTTGATAAAAATTTCTTTTTACATAGGATGATAGAGCGAAAAAAGCTCTTTCTTTCTATGCTATTTGATCATACCTCAGATGACATCATAATAAAAAAAATCCTAATAAGACTAGTTCACCTAACATGTGTCACGGTTACAGAAGTACATATTGTCTTCAATAGGCATTCTTTTCTTCATTTTTTCCTTTTTTTCTTCTTCTCTTCATTCTTTCCTCTCACTCTTCTGAGATTTTATCATTCCTCATATGTATACAAAGATACATGCGTCTTTTTGTGCACGTGTCGTGCGCTATTCTATTCTGTAAAAAGTGAAAGAAGTTAAGTTAAATCGAATCTTACTACTCTTCATTTTTGTTTTCAATGGACAAAGAAAATTTTCGCTTCTACATTAAAGTGCGTACTGCGCTTAATGTTGAAGCAACAACTATTCACGACGAACTACGTACTGTTTTCGGTGATGAAGCTCCTTCTTATCGAACAATTGCAAGATGGGCTCAATGGCTTCGTGAAGGTCGAGAAGAAATTGAAGATGAAGAATGATCTGAAAGATCTGTAATTAAGAGTACTCCTGAAAATATTGAAGAAATTCGTAGTATTGTTAGTGATGATCCTCATGTTACAATAGCAGAATTACAAAAATATACTGATCTAAGTTATGGTGCCGTTCATAGAATATTATCTGATCATCTGGAATTTAGAAAAATTACTGCCCGTTACATACCCAAACAGCTAACGGATTATCAACGGAATGAACGTGTTCGAATATGCAAAGAAAATCTGTCAAGATTTACAGAAGGAGGATGGCGTTTGTCTGACGTGGTAACAGGTGATGAATCGTGGTTTTTTCATCAGCAAACTGGTCGAAAAGTTTCCAATGCTGCTTGGGTGACAAAAGACGATCCTCTGCCCACAATAGTTCGACGAAATAAGTTTGCTCCAAAAACTCTATTCTGCATTTTCTTTAAATCAACAGGTCCTCTTCTAATCCATCGTGTCGAACGTGGACAAACTATAAATCACCAATATTACATCGAAAACTGTTTGCAGCCTGTTATCGAAGAAATCAAGAAACAAAGACCTCATTCAGGTACTCATGCCATCAAACTTCATCATGATAACGCAGGACCACATTTTCATAAAGACGTACTCGATTATCTTCATTCAGAAGGAATTACCGTAGTACCACAACCACCAAATTCTCCAGATCTGTCTTCATGTGATTTTTGGTTATTCGACTTGATCAAACGAAATCTAACTGATCAAACAGACTCCGAATCGTTACACAACGCTATAACGGAGTTCATGTAATCTTTAGATAAAGAAGAGTACAGAAAAACGTTCGATAAATGGATTCAAAGAATGGAATTGTGTGTAGATAATCAGGGCCATTACTTTGAACATTTAATGAAATAAAACCTCTTGTACTTGTTTATATATTTTCAATTTTCGGATATGCTAATCTTAATAAACGTTAAAAGTCTCGAAAGAGGTGAGAGGAAAGAGTGAAGAGAAGAAGAAAAAAAGGAAAAAATGAAGAAAAGAATGCCTATTGAAGACAATATGTACTTCTGTAACCGTGACACATGTTAGGTGAACTAGTCTTATTAGGATTTTTTTATTATGATGTCATCTGAGGTATGATCAAATAGCATAGAAA